AAAAAAAAAAACACTCTATCTTTAGGAAGTCTGAAGCATAAGCTAATTTCTCATTACATCGGCCTTTCTGATGGCATCTGCGTTATGGGGTACAACAGTAAAACTCTGCTTGTGAGATGCCATCCCTGTTAGTCCCTGTAATGGTGGCTGGTCCTTGCGAAGGAGTCCTTGTGCTGTACCCCGACATGGACATGGGCTTTGGGTGGCAGTGGCAGCCCAGGGGCCGTCCCAGCACTTGCACTGATACAGCCTGCCTGGTGCTCTGGCAGCTGCTGCCACCCCATGGCTTTCCATAAGGGATGAATGCTGCAGTGCTCCAATGTGTTGCATTTCTCCAGAAACCTCTCCTAGGTCAGAGGGAAGACGATGAATATTCATTTTGCTCTGTCCTCCCCTACGTCACCTTTTCTCACAATCCCCTCTGCAAAGAGAAGCAAACACTGCAGGAGCAGTGCTGCTCTAGTTTAGGATGGGTGAGTGCTTTCCACCGGATTTCCAACTCTATAATTGAATATTAATTTTGGCTCCCAGGAGTTTTCACTGACTGACTTTATCTGCCTTGGCAGGAAATATTCCAGCTTTTTTTTTTTTTTTTAATTTTTTTATTAAGAACATCAAAACGTACATCAGCAACATGCTTTTGAAACTCGTTTCTGAAAGTTGCTGCTGCTCTGGGGGGCCATATTTACATCATGGATGCCACACAGAGACAGATCTGGGTTAGAGCAATCTGGTCAAAGCACGGTGTCCTCCGAGCAGCGCTGCCAGCAGAGCTCTGCCCCCCTAAGGCAGCAGCGTCCAGCCAGAGGCTCCGACGTGGAGGGGGACACTTCAGACAGCCTTATCCCGTTTGTTACCGCGCCTTGTGCCAGGACTGCCCTGCGTGTGGAGGAAGAACTTTTTCCTGAGGAAGCGCTATGAGGAATCGCCTCTCTTTGCCTGCGGGGCAGGTACAGCCTCTGGGGCTGAAAGCCTTCTTCCCTTCGGCTAACTTGAGTAGAGCAGAAAGGAATATGCTGTATAAAACAATTCAGCCTCCCTGGAGGCAGCGCGCTTGACATAGGCACGGACAGGGGTCCAACTCGCTCCCCTATACGTTACAGGAGCTCTCACCTTCGTCTGTCCCTTCTCCCCCCGCCTCAGCACACGGAGGACGGGGCGTACCGAGGCGTACCGAGGCGTCCCCCCGCAGCCACCCGCCCATCCCTCCCCGCTGCTTTCCCGAAGCAGACCCGCACACCGCGGCGGCGGCGGGGCCGAAGGCTGCGGGGGGCGGCGCTGCCCCCGCCGCGGGCGGAGCTTCGGCCCCGGCCGGGGTTCGGCTCTCGCTCGGCTCCCCGCGCACGGTGCCGGAGCGGCGCGGCCTCAGGTGTCCGCTCGCGGTGCGCGATGGCCGCGGGGTTCCCACGAGGGCGGCCGGAGCCGCCTCTCCGTCCGCCGGAGTTGAGCGCGGGGGGAGGCGGCGCGGCCACCTGAACGCGGAGCAATACAACAAGTAGCTCTCGCTCAGCCGCCGACGCCCGAGACGAGGAGCCGCCGCCGGGCCGCTCGTCCAGGTACCGAGGGGCGGGGGCCGGGAGCGGCCCTTCCCCGGCTCTCCCCGCCGCGGGCGCGTCTGACAGGCAGCGACCCCCGCCCCGCCTGCTGCCGCCGCCGGGGGTCGCGTCCCTTCGCACACGGCATCCCCCTCTCAGGGTTGAGCCGGGGGGAAGAGACGCGGATCGCCCACCCCTCTTTGTGTGCTCAGACCGTAGGCGCCGTTCGGTACCGGCTGCCCGCGCTCCGTGCCATCGGCTCGAGGAGGAGCGGAGCCATTGGGGGCGGCGGGAGGCAGAGCTCGGCGCGGGGACATCGCGCCGGGAAACGGGGTGGGACGGAGGCGGCCGGGATAGGCGGGGAATGGCGCGGGGATGCCGGGGGGGCTTCTCCTTCATTCCTTCTCTCTGTCCGCGCTGAAGGCAGAAGCTCGTCCCGCTCCTCCGCCCCGCGCCGCCCCAGTCATGTCCCACCCGGAGCGATGGGGAAGCTCGAGGACAACGAGAGGGTGATCCTCAACGTGGGGGGCACGCGGCACGAGACCTACCGCAGCACCCTGAAGACCCTGCCGGGCACCCGCCTGGCCCTGCTCGCCGCCGAGTCGCAGGGCGAGTCCCCGGGCGCCGAGGAGCCGCCGCCACCGCCGCCCCCCAACGCGGCCCCGCCGGCGGGCGGCTGCCCCGAACCCGGCAGCGGCTGCAGCCCGCGGGGCGGCGGCGGGGCCAGCGAGTTCTTCTTCGACCGTCACCCGGGGGTCTTCGCCTATGTGCTCAACTACTACCGCACCGGCAAGCTGCACTGCCCCGCCGACGTGTGCGGGCCGCTCTTCGAGGAGGAGCTGGCCTTCTGGGGCATCGACGAGACCGACGTGGAGCCCTGCTGCTGGATGACCTACCGGCAGCACCGCGACGCCGAGGAAGCGCTCGACATCTTCGAGGCGCCCGATCTGCTGACGGGCGAGCCGCCCCCCGACGGCGACGACGACGACATGGCGGCCAAGCGGCTGGGCATCGAGGACGTGGCGGCGGCCGCCGAGGGCAAGGGTGGGCGCTGGAGGCGGCTGCAGCCCCGCGTCTGGGCGCTCTTCGAGGACCCCTACTCCTCCCGGGCCGCCAGGGTAAGCGCCCACCGACGGCGCTCTCGGGAGATGGATCGTCACCCCCGGGTGATGGCGGTGGTGGTGCCCCGGGAGCCTCGGGGTGCTGGCAGCGTGGGGTGTCTAGGTGGAGCTCGGCCTGCGTGGGGTGGGCTGTGGAGTGGTGCCATGGTGGGATGCTGTGGGGTGTGACACCAGCTCCTATGGGCTGAGCTGCACCAGCCATCCTGGTCTCAGTGGGGACGTGGGAGTGCTACTGACTGGGGGACCACGCTGTGTGCCAGTGGGCTCTATAGTGCCTTTTCTGGGGGCCTGCAGGGCTGTATATGCACCGTGTGCTCTAGCTTTCAGGGAGGTGTTGAGTTGTGTGAGGTGGTGGCTGCCCACAGCCCATCCAGGAGGGCTCTGCTGGCAGCTCCTGCTTGGCTCTCCTGCTCCTGCCCTGAAGAGCTTAGCGGGATCCAGGGTGGCCCTCATGGCTCTGCAGCTGAGGGCTGTGAGGGAACACCGGTCCTCAGCGAGTTCTTGACAGATGGGATTTTAGATTTTGGCTCTTTCTTCTGTGTTGGAGCACGGTGCGAGTTTCAGCCCTGACTTGTAGTTAACTGCTGTGTGTGGTGATGGGTTTTGCTTTCTAACCCATGGAACAGGCAAATGGTTGTAACACCTTTGGGAGAAGTGTGCAGTGATGCTTTGAACTCAGCTGTGGGAACAGCACCCAGCAGCGAGTCCTGCCTGCAGCACATGAGAAAGAGCTCGTGGTTGAAATGGGCTTAGATTTAAAGCAGCAGGAAGCATTTCACAGTGCTTTCACTGGGTTTCCCTGTGAAGAACCCAGACCTCATCCTGTGTCAGCGATCAGTACTGTCCCCAGCAGTGCCACTGGGGTCACCACACCCTGATGGAGAATGGGGTGTCAGGGGGTGCTGAGCTCCAGCTGGTGCCCCAATTGTCTCTAGAGCAGGTTGCGTTCAGAATACACATCGGTAGTGTTTGTATTGTTGCTCGTTAAGGACACACGCGCAGCTCACACCTTGGCTGCCTGAATTCAGCAGAGTTCAGCTGTCGGTTCCTGACCTAACAGCAGTGTGGTGGTCCCACCGCTGCTGGGGAAGCTGCTGACAGCAGCAGATCTGCAGCTTTTACGGCACGGAGCCTTTCACTGAACTTTGTGGAGCGCTGGCAGTGATCATCTATTAGAGAAGATATTTATCTTTTTAAAGTTAGGAAGGGGTTTAAAGTAATATATTCTGATTTCAGCCATGGGCAGGCAGAGCGAGGCAGTGCCAGAGCTGCAGCTCCGAGTTCGGGTTCTGTTCAGCTCTGCCGCTCTGTGCAGTGATTCTCCCCCCGCAGACAGGCTGCTCGGATTGCTGCTGGCAACTTGGAAGCATGGGGCACTTCTGTGCCTCCGGGCCAGCATACACCTGCACCCACACCCCAGTGTGTGGTAGCTTGGGTGGTGGTACATCCAGCTGGAAGCTGAAGTGCAAATGTCAGTTCAGTATTTCCCCACACCTGAGATAGACACTTTGTTTTGTGAGTATTCTGACAAACGCAGCGTTGTTGTGTATCAGCTGAAATGATGACTAACTCTAAAAATATTTGGGTGAGATCCTTACTGAGCGCAAGAAAAGCTCCGTGAGCATCAATTGTGCCTCGCAGTGCGAGCTCCTGACTCATGTGCTGCTGGGATGGTGGTGAGACAGCTTGCTGGTAAACTTTCTTAATAACGGTGGTAATCCGTAGCAGTGCTGCCTGATTGAACTTCTGCACTGTCTGTTCGGAGGAACGTGATGTTGAGAAAAACTGGATGTTGCTTATTAATGGGGTGGCACTTAATATTTCTGTTCTTCTTTATCTTAAACTGTGATCTGTAAAAATAGAAATTTATAGAAATTCAAATATAAGTTGCCATGGTAACCTATTGGGGGATAGTGCACACACAGATTATTCTAGCAAGACCATCCAGCGATGTTATATAAACAGTGGAACTCATCTGTTGACAAAAAGGTGTACTGCATTAGGGACTTGAAAAAATCAACTTTAATATATGCAGTTTGATAGTTAGTGACATCTGCTAGCCATACTTTTTATAAATACAAAATGTAATGCGTATCGTATGCATGCGATTGCTTTGAAACCTGCAATACTTTTCTTTGTATCTCAAGTTCAGGAATGGATCTGAATATCGTTTGTTTTCATTTCACCATTTCGGACTGCTCTTTATGTGAACTGTAAGGAAGGGTGCAGTGGCACTGCTTTTGCTCCGGGCTCCCCAGAGCTGCCTCTCACAGATTGCTCTCTGGCAGAGCAGTGCTGTGTGGATGGAGAGGTCCCAGTATAAGGAGCACGAGACGCATTGGGCAGCCAAATCCTCCTGTGTGATGCATTTCCGTACCCAACTCTTATTGCACTGTGTGCGCTGTGCGTGTGACTGGTTAACAATGGTGGGGTATTTTGGAGTCCTCTGATGGCTCTTGGCTCATGAGTACAAGGGACTGTGCTTTAGTAAGGTGCAGAGAGACGTCCAAATAGTTTGTAAGGAAGTACGAGAGATGTGATTAGCACTGAGTTTGACAGAGTGTCTGCGGATGCCCGCGGGACCCGGAATGTCAGCGCCAGTCTCAGATACCATATTTCAAATTAATTAAGCTTTTAAGGCCTTTTATTTTTGAATAATAGTTGAAATACGATGCTGTTTAAAGAAATAATTAGTGTTCATCATTGATTTTTGTTAAGGATTGTGGATTATTCTTGCACTTAGCACAGGAACCTAGAAACTGCACAGGGACTCGCAGTGTTCACGGCTGTCTGTCTGTCCCCAGGAGCAGCTTGTCTGTCCATGCACAGAGCAGGGATGGGACAGGGATGCCTGGCTGCGTGCTGCTGGAAAAGAGAAGCTCCTGTGTGCAGCTGTACCTGCGATGCTGCTTTTGGAGGCTGCTTGCAGTGACACTTCTGCTGGCCTCAAGCACTCACAGAGGTCGGCTGCGGGAAGGGTTGGCGAAATGAGGGAGGCAAGCAAGGGAGAGAACCAGGTTAATGGGTCCCCTCAAGGCTTAGAGCCTCAGAAATCATACGGGAGAGCATTCTTAGTGAAGTTAACTTGCATCTTTCTTTGGTGGCTTGTGCACAGTTTTCCAGGTAGGTGGATACATGCTGGGTTCCAGGGTGGTTTATGTGGGCTGCTCAGGATGCAAACGGCTTTTATTTTTGGTGGAAGCAGTGCTGCTGGGATAGTCTGACAGGCACACCATGAATGGAGTGGGGAGGATACGGCAGGCTCAGAGTGTACATTAATAGTGAACTGCAGGGCTTATTTGCTTTATTAAAAATAGAACTGGCATTTAATTTCTAAGTGCAAGTCTTAGAAATTTGTAACTTACAAAGATTTTTCTTCTATCTGAAAATGGTTATAGGAATGTACAAAGAAGCCAGTAGAGATTACAAAGAAACTGAATGAGTGGGCTTTCCTCTTGCCATCTTGCTAATCAGAGTGTGTTTATTCTCAAGTGGGAAAAGAATCCGTTCATTTACATTGGCTGCTTTTAAAGCAGCAGCACCTTTGTGCCTGGGACAAACACCGTGACGCATCACTGCTATGGGTATTCGCACATTCCGTGGCTTCACGGGTGCACGGGCTGACTAAATCATATTATAAGTACTTTTTATTAATTCATTTCTGAAATGCTGGCTGTTAAAAGTCTTAATTGCAAGTAGTTGCTTAAGAAGTTACCCGCTCAAGGTAAGCCACTTTGATCTGCATTAAATTTAGATGGTATCTGGTGGCACTGACATAGCGGTGAGGTAAAATCAGAAAGATTTCTGCCTCCCTAACTTCTGCCTTTTTCTCTACAGCTGTTCTGCCTGCTGCTGCTACTGTTTCCATGGAAACAAGCCAGCTCTTGGCTTCCTTTTTCCATTGGAAACAGCCTTCTCTCTGTCACTTATTAATCTCAGAAAAGCATTCTGTCATGGCTCTGACATGAGCGCCACAGAGCTGATCTGCCTGAGCATCTCAGGAATGGATGCTGGTCCGTATGCACCCATGCACGTAGCCAGATTTATCCTCTGACTTAAAATAATTCGATTGATGGACTTGCTCTGAATTAGCTTTGGTATAACTGGAAGTGGAAATTAGCTTACCACACACAGCCCAAGATAATAACAGTATTGAGAATTATTCTTGGCTGAGAAATCTGGCAGACAGCATCCCGTTCCTGTGTGCAGTTCAGACATAATGCCCTGCTGCTCTCTGTCACGTTTTGTTTACAGCAGTGAGGTGCTGAAACGATACACTTTGGGATTAGAACGTGTCTTCATACCCATTCATAACCATTCATGTGGTGGTAGAGGAGCAGCCCACAGCTCTGGGGAATACTGCATAGGTTTCAGTGTTTCCTTTTGGTCAGGTGTCACGGTATCGTGCCGTCAAGTGATGCTGTCAGGATAAGCAAGAAGTGAATTTAAAAAAAATGGTATCTTCATGGTCCTTCTTATTCAAAAGGTGCCTAATGCCAATACCTTCTGAAGAAGATGACATTTTTGCTTGGCTTTTTTTGAACTCATTTTGAATGGTAATGAAAAAAAATCAAAATTCAGTCACATCCTTGGTTAGTGTTCCTCATTATCAGAACGTGAAGATTTTTAAAGGAACTTCGTCTAGAACTTGGCCTTTTCTCCCGCAGCAGTCATTGCTGGAAGGTGTCCTCTCCTCAGGAAGTTACCTGTCAATCAGGGCAGAAGCATCAGAGTGCAAGTGAGGCATCTCTGTATATTTTCTTAACATTTTGTATCATTTCTGGTGGAAGAGCTGCTTTGGTGCTGTTCATTTTTGCAGAAGCTGTTGATCTTCCTTCACTTTGGACTTGGCTCATCTTGGGGAAGCATATTTCCTTCAACCAGCACGGGAGAGAAAGGGTTTGTGTTCTCTGTATTTGGCACCTGAGGGATTGGAAGTTCCCTTTTTGTTCTCATTACTGAAGTCTTCTTCAGACCTTTATGCTGGCAGCTTATGACTTACATAAGCTTACTGATCCCATGTAGGAGCTTGTGGGGGTTTCTGCAGTATACTTTTTACCATGAGTAAAGTAGGTAGGCCAGTAGAAATACAGAGAGGATAAAATATGGAATATCAAGCTGTTGCTTATAATTCTACAAAGGATATTTCTATAGCAATACATCTTTATGTCTACTCTTACTTCCCAAGAGCCCTTCTCCTGGTGCGAGGGCTGGAACAAGAGGATATTTCTTGCATCAAAACCAATTTGAACTGGTGAACTCAATATGCAACTGCAGAAATGTGTATGAACATACTGATGTAAAGTTAGCATTATCAGTGTGATAAAAGAGACCATAAGATGGAGTGGTGGTCTGGTATGTTCACTGCCCTATCGTGACATACTCATGGACATATTGCTGTAACTGAGTGATAAGGTTGTCAAAAAAACACCTAGATGTAGCTATAGAGGGAAAAAAAAAAAAGTGATTTCACATTCTTTTTAGTCCTACAAATGTGTTTAATTAACATCATTGTTAGTACTTTATAATGACTACAGCATTTTTGAAGGAAAGACTCCCATCTGTTAATCAGAAGTGTTAAAAATAGAATGCCATCTAATCATACAATTTCTTGTGATTTGCTTTACAGATTTTTTGACTGAAGTGGTGACATGAAACTTAAAAACCAAATTATCCAATTACATATTATAACTGTATTTTATCCCTTGCCTTTAAGTTGTCTGAGAATTTTGAGATGCTGCTGTGTTTTTGATCTTTATACTAGTAGGTTAATTATTGCAGGGGTGTAATAATTCAGTCCTTTCTTACTACAGGCATGTAGATCCTTAGTATTTCTAGGTGAATCTGGGGTATCAGGTCTTTGATATGCTCCAGAAAAAACTGTAAATAGAGAACAGTCTGTTATCTTGGTTCACAAGTATGTACTGGATATAAAACACAGTATTGTTTATTTCTGAGATAAGTATAGTTTCTTAAATTTTTACATTGCAGCATACAAACCTGTATTTTTAAGCGTGCCTTCTCTCTAAAGAAGGCAGAACATCTCTTGGAGCTTGTTGCTGGTTTTGATAATGGGTTGAGTACCAGCTGCATAGCAGTAATCTTCTTCTTAAATATTTAATCCTTATCCTAAGAGAGAGAATTCTTGAGGAACGACTACCTCCAGACTAAAATGCTTTGTTTGGTAAAAGCAGAAGGTGACTGTCATGATAGGGGAATTTAAAGCAACAGAAATCATACACAGAGATGCAGTTTTAATGGCTGAGAAAACTCTCAGTGAATCATTTTGGAGAACACAAAGTTTAGTATGATGACGCAGAGGGCTACAGAATGGTGCTGTGAAATGCTGCATCATGTGGTTGCAAAAATAAGGACTGTGAGCTGCAGTCCTGATGATTTTACCTGGGAACACTGCTGGTGCCCATCCCTGTGCAGGGCTGGAGTGGTCAGCTGTCACAGCTGGCATCCTGCTGCTGATGGTGCTCCTAAGTGGGAGCAAGAGTAATGTCTCAAGTTGTATTTTGGTTGGCTTGCTTAAATTCTCAGTACATAAATGTTCACAAAATACTTTTATATGCTGTCTACTGTGAGATGCTATCTACTGTGAGATACTGTGAGATATCTACTGCCTATTGGTATTTAACAGCCTGTGCAACTGCAGGTATATACTTCAAAGTAGTGGTAGAAATTCTTGTGGGATCATATAAAGGATGTTTTAAAGTATGCAAACACACTGCTATGAAATTTCTTTATTTTTTAGACAATACCACGGAAGACATCCTTGTCTGTCCTTATTGGTAAACAGGCGTTAAAAAATTCATGGTCATTTTCAAGTGAGTGGTCTGTTTTATCTTGGTCATTGGCACCTTGTAATCCTATGCTCATATGAACCATAATTATTCATCATAATTGGTTTCAGAATTATTTTAATTTGTACAGAATTATGATGGTTAAGAGGAGAAAATGTTAGTTTGGTTTAGTTAGTTAATTTTTAAGATCTGCTTTCTTTTTTTTTTTTTTTTTCCTTCTTTTTTCTAACCAGAACTTTGCAGTATTCTAAACTTAATCCAGGTATGGTTTGGAGAAGATCTTCATTTCTTTTTAATTTTAAATTCTAGGTCTAGTATCTGTCTTCAATTTTTCATTTGAATTTTAGGACATAATTGATCTTCAAACACATGTGGATTTCATCTTGAACATTCTTGCATTGGTCTGGGAAATTACTCAAATAAATTAGGTGCATATTTGATTTCTTGTGTGCTTAAACTTATGCTTGTGCTGAAATGTTTTGTTGGACTAGGAGCTGAGTTTGGACCACGTACAGAGTTAAGTTCTCATATTTCAAACTTCCCTTACAGTAGGAAATGCTTTCACTATCAATATTTCTGAGTTTCATGTTTTCATAGTTTAAGTAAAGTGTATACAGTAAATGACATCAGAGGCTTTTCACTGAGTAGAATTCAAGCAGGACTGCAGTTCAGCCCAAGTACTGAACATCTGCGCTGCTATGTAACTCATTACCTGTTCATTATCTCTTTAATAATTGATGTTAAACAGATTTATTTAAAAACGTTGGATATCTCCATCCCTTGGCTGGTAAGTATCATTACTGACTCTATTCTAGGCTAGGTTGAAACTTCTGACAGCTGTCGGGAGTTAGTTTCCTGCTTACTTATGTGATATTGTACCTGTAAGGTTGAAGAAATAAATGGTAATGCTTGTCATTTGTTGCCAAAAAAAAAAAAAGGCAGATGAAGCTGATGTTTCACTGACCCATGAATGGTCAACAAAATTGGTTTGATGCATTGCAGCTACAGGGTCTCCTTGGTTAGTCATTGTGTGCTTTAAATTGATGCCTCAGTAGCAGGACAAACGAACTGGGGAATTTAAAAAGCAGAGAATATTTGATATGAAGGAGAAATTACATCTTAGTGGAAAATGAATCATTACAGATTGAAACAAGGAATGTAATTTCATTTAGTTTTTCATGATATAGTCTATGAGATCTTCTAACATAAAATACCGTCTTCTCCAGTTTTGTGTCTATTTCTCTAATGAATGATTTTCATTAAGTTAAGGATGGAAGTTGTCAGTTGTCTTTAAACTGCAGGTATATCTAACAGATTGATGTTTTTCATTGCAGTTGCCTCTTCCTTAAAGTGCAAGGGAGCTTTCAGAATTACTGCTATAATGACGGGGTTTATTCCATTTTGAAAAGGGCTATTGCAGCAATTATGGTCATGATGCAGGTTTCCGCCTTAATCCAGCTACTGAGAAAGGTACAAGTGTCTCCCCAAATGTCTTCAAAGGCCCTCAGAGCTGATTTCTTAGTTATTCATGTCCTCTTTCTTTGTCCCCACCCCACTGCACTCAACACCTTGCACTGCCACTGAGCCAGTATCTGACCTGATACTTTCCAGACAAGGACTTTTCCAATGCATTTGTAATAAAATTAACCATTCTACTTCAGGTTGAAGTACAATGATAGTTATACATGCCTCTCTACTTTCATTGCTACCTTCAGTAATATCTATGCTAGCAGCTTTTCTTTGCTGGCTTTTCATTTCAGTGATTTTGAATTCTCAAGAATTTAAAGCATTCAGTGGTAGAAATGCACCTGTTAGTCTTTAGAGAAGTGCGGATTCATTTCAAATTGGGTTTGTATTTCATCAGAGGAGCCTGTCTTGTTCTTGAGTTCTGACAGATTCATGAGATGGAGGCAGTTTTCTTGGGAAAAATGACTGCTTTTGTTAAAAAGTATCAATAGCTAAATTTCTGAAACAGAGCACGGAAAACTATTCAACTCCCACCTTTTGCTGCTGTTCTTTGTGTACTCCTTGAAGACACAGATCAAGAGATGTGTATTAGTAATTAAGATCAACAAACGTTGCAAAATCTTATTTTGTTTGTTTACTGGCAAAGCTTTTTAGAAGTAATGAGGTAATTGTCATGGTTTGTAATCTTAATGTGAGCAAAATCCTTTCTCCAGAAACCCAAGCGTTGTGATATTGTGGGAAGGTCTTGCAGTAGTGGCGACTAAAGGAAAATGCTGTGTGCTATAAAACCTTGTGCTATAAATTTTTCATTGAAATTCTACTGCTCGGACAAGTACCATGTCAGTGCAACAGCAGTGTACCTTGCAAGACCAGCTGTGAAGTGTGAATCTAACGGAGGGGAGAATGTTTGTGGTTGTCATGCTTTCAGACTTCAGGTGGTGTTTTTATCCATATATTTATATATCTGTATATCTCTCTATAAATATGAATGCAAGTTGTAGAATCAAGGAATCACAGAATGGTTTGGGTTGGAAGGGACCTTGAGGACCATCTAGTTCTAGCTCCTCTGCTGCAGGCAGAATTGCCACCCACTGGATCAGGTTCCCCAGGGTCCCATCCAACCTGGTCCTGAATGCCTCCGGGAAGGGGGCACACACAGTTTTTCTGGGCAATCTGTTCCAGTGTCTCACTGGTCCTGAAGTGAAGAATTTTCTTCCTGATGTCTCATCTAACCCCATTCTCTTTTAGTTTAAAACCATTCCCCCTTGTGTCTACAAAGTCACTCCCCAGCTTTCCTTTAGGCTCTCTGTAGCCTTCTCTCCTTCACACTTAACAGCCCCAGTTTTCTCAGAAGCTCTTCATAGGAAAGATGCTCCAGTCCTCTGATGATGCTCGTGGCCTCCTCTGGACCTGCATCAACAGCTCTGCATCCTTCCTTTGTTGGGGCCTCCAGGCCTGAACGAAGTACTGTGGGTGTGGCCTCACAAGGGCAGAGCAGAAAGGGACAGTCACTTCCCTTGCCTTGCTGGCCACCCCTCTTTTGATGCAGCCCAGATGGAGCTGGCCTTCTGGGCTGCAAGTACACACTGCTGGCTCATGTCGAGTTTTTCATCAACCAGCGCCCCCAAGTTATTCTCCTTGGGGCTGCTCTCGATCCGTTCTCAGTCCAGCCTGTATTTGGACTTGGGTTTGCCCCGACCCAGGTCCAAGAACTCGCACTTGGCCTCACTGAACATCCTGAGGATCTTATGGGCCCATCTGTCGAGCCTGTCAGGATCCCTGTGGATGGCATTCCTTCCCTCCAGTGTGTTGGCTGCACCACAGAGCTTTGCACCCGTCTGAAAATATTGCACACACACACATTTCTAAATGTGCATTTCAATATTCCTAACCAGTAATTATGGTAGACAAGAATATTTTTCTTTTCTCCACCCTTTTGTTTATTTATTTATTTGGGTTTTTTGCCATCTGTTTGTCCTTAAAGACTTTAATGAAGAAGGCTGCATCCCAGTCTTGTGACTTAATTCTTCCACTTGTTTAATAGAGATTCTAACTGTTCGTTCAAGTAGAGTTTTTGGGATTGTCTGAGTATCTTGCTTTATTAAAATATGATAATTATCTTAGTGATATACATTTGTATTACTATACTGACACAGTATTTTGTTAATCATATTCTCATTATATTTGATGATAGAACTAGTGCTTTTTTCTTTGCAGTTTTTTTTCTTACTAAAGAATGGGAAAAATTTTTGAAGCAGTTCTGTGAGCTCTGAAACTAAGGAAGTTTTGCTTTCTGTGAATGTGTACCTCAGCTGGTGAGGTGACTCTCAGCTCCATTTACAGTTTTTCCTTACCTTGCCGTATTATGAAGTCTTGAGTGCAGATTTGTTGCTGTCAGGAGATTATGAGCTCATATTACAGCTTTTTAGTTTGGAAGGATTTCTTTGTCTATACTGCACCTTATTTTTACAATCCCATACAGCTTCAGTTCTTTTTAAGACCTCTATCCCTTGGTCCAACTTCATTATGAATGGCCAGCTGCTGCAGAGTTCTTAGATGTGAGACAGGTAAGTTTTTTAATTTTTAAAAGGTAAATCTGCTTTTGCCTTAGAAGTTCCAATAACAAAAGACAGGAAAGCCCTCGCCTTTCCATTTGTTGCATTGTCAGGTAGTGCAACTCCACAGCAGACCTCAAAAAAAGGAGAAAAGAACAAGCAGGGACTTTTTTACCAGGAGTGGGTTTTGCTGATACAGGCAAATACATCTGCACTTGAGAGCTCTGTTTTTTGTTCAGTAAATAATAAATCAAGATGGAAATGGTTTTAGTATTTCATACAGTCACTTCTGCAATATGACATGCATGATGTTGTTTAAAACAAAAAAATTATTCCAAAGCAAACCAATATTTTGTGGTGTCCATATTTATGGACAGTATCTACAAAATGTAAATAAGATCATTCTTTCCACAGGTTTGTTTCAAATATCCTTCAACGTTTAAGAGAATTTAGAGAGTTATACAAAATGGCTCAAAAACCTATAGGATGGTCAAGTTCTTCTAGTAAGTTATAGAGTTTTGCACTAGAACCCTACTCATTTTTATACTGCAAAATTATGCATATATTCATTACATGGTAAAACATTTTAAGAAAATCATCTCTCCCAGGGATGTAGCCTTCCTTTCTACAGCTATTGGTAACAGGGAAATATTAAGAAAACCTCAGATTTGGCAGTTGTTTTCTTCGGATGATGCTGATAAACACATATTATGATTTTTCATTTCGTTTAAGTAATCTGGCCTCTTTTATTATTCATTTACTAGGTTGTTTTTTTTAAAGAAATTATACATTTAGTTATATTTTGTAGAAGTGAAAGAGGACAGTTGTTTTCATCTTATGATCTATGTTTGTTTGTTTGTTTTTGATACCTTTGTCTCATTCACTTCACAGCATGGATCTGCGCTGGGAATAAACTGGGATTGTGTCATTTGGATATAGGCATTAAAGGGTATGAAAGGAAATCCCTTAAATATATCAATAATTTTGTTTGGAGAAAAGTTGGAGGAACATATTCAAATAGGGTGTGTGTCACCTCAACAATCTGGAAAAGAGGAAACTTTGAATTAAGTAAGCACTATTCACTCTATGAGCTTACTGAGGCAGGGTCTGCATGGGAAGGAACT